TTGCTGGGCTGGCTTTGAACTCACGATTCTCCTGCCTCAGCCTCCTGAGCTGCTGGGATTGCAGGCGTGAGCCACCATGCCTGGCTTCTTTATGTAGGTTGCCTGTGAGGTTCCTGTCCCTCTTGCGGACAGTTGTGCCTCCTTGTGACTAGTCCAGGCAACTGTGTCCTGAGCACACTTCAGGGAAAAAGGAAATGGCTGTTGGGTGGGGAAGCATGATGTGTAACTCTGGCATAAAAACAGTTGGCAACAGGGAAACCTGCGCCCCAGTGGAGAGGCTCCAGTTCTCAGGGTCCAGGCTGAGCCGCACCGAGGGCTGTGGCTGCAGGTGAAGGGGTGGCTGAAGATCGTGCTGAGCTGGGTCACTGCCACCAGCACCCAGGTGTTTGATAATGTCTGAGCCGGGGCAGGAGCCAGGCTCAGCCGGCCTGACAATGAAAGCCTGGGGCCATGCCTCCTGGCCATTCCTGTGCACTTTTCTTCTGACAAGAGGGGCGTGAGCACCACTGTACAGATGGACGGGTGTGCTGAGCTGTCAGTACTTTGTGGGCCCAGCTCCCACCCACCACCAGCCACAGGTAGCAGGGCCACAGCCCCTCCCCTTCTGTGCTTTGCAGTGACCTGAGGGTGGACAGCCAGAAGCAGAGGCATCCGTCTGGCGGTGTTTCCGTTTCTTCTGAGATGGTGTTTGAGTTGGAAGGTGTTGAACTGGGAGCAGATGGAAAGGCAAGAGCCCCAGGGCCAGCCAACGGCCAGCACAGTGAGGGCTGGGTGGGCAGGAACAGCCCTGTAGCCAGTACCCACAGAGGGACATGGGAAGGAGAGTGTGGGGAGTGGGCCACCCAGCCCTGGGGAAATGACCATGCCTGTCAGCAGATGCCCTTCTAGCCAGCCCTGAAAAATGACCTGGGGTCAGCCAGGCATGTGCTGCACTGCCCCTCTGCAGCCCAGACTCTCCATACTGTCTGGCCCTACCTCTGGGCCTGTAGGCTAAGGCTAAGGGTCTTCAGAGGCAGGGGATGTCACATCACTACAGATCCAGACTAAATATGGGAAGCTGGTGGCCTGAGACCACCAGCTCTGGGTGAGCCAGTGGCATGGTGCCCACAGCTGCTCCCTGGCTCTGAGTTGGGCTCCTTCTCTGTGGCAGCTCAGGTGCACTACAGCGTGGAAAACAACTCATTTGCACCTCTGCTCTCGGGAAGCAGGACTGAACCCCAGTGTGACTGCTTTTCCAGGTTGTCTCTTATGCAAAGTTCCTGTACCCTACCAACGCCCTGGTCGCACCCAAGAGTGACAGCCACGGCCTGTTGTCCCAGCCTCGGCCGAGCATCCCCCGGGCTCTGCCAGGGTCAAGACATAAATCTGCCACTGCCAAGTCGGCACCCGCTGGCACAGAGCTAGGTATAGTAGCCTGCCTTCCCACGGCACAGGGGAGGCAACAGCACCAATAGGCCACACTCAGGCTGGAGCTCATGGCAGTGCCAGGCTGCAGAGCAGGGCAGCAGAGCCTCTCGGGGGAGAGGAGGCTCCAGGCTGCACACAGCTCTGGGCTCTGCCCAGGCCAGGTGGGGAAGAGGCACCCTGCCCCAGGCTGCTTCAGGAAGGGACCTGACCTCTCAATGTCCCTACAGGACACCTGTCCCTTTAACCTGGGCTGGGGACAGGGAGGGAACTAGGGCCTGGGGACCCTCTCAGACCCAAGGTACTTGGCTGTGATGCCTCTCCTGTGGACTGGACAGTTTCCACACAGACTCTGGTGGGTCAGGAGCTGCCTCTACTTACAGGGAGTGACGTGGGAGATACCCTGGAATATAACCCCAACCTCCTGGACGACCCGCAGTGGCCCTGTGGAAAGCACAAGCGGGTCCTCATCTTTGCCTCATACATGGTGAGCACCTGCCACCTGTGGCCTGCAAGTTGCCCACCTCAGGGCACATAGGTGGGCTGTGGGCAAGCCACCCTGGCACCTAGAAGCCCCAGATAGCCAGCCCACAGGGACCTACCCCACCTCAGAACACCAACAGCAGCAGGAAAGGGACCCAGGCCATAGACAGGCAATGTGTAGGGCAGGCCAGAGAGCCAGGCTGGCCATGCTCACCTGGGGTCAGCCCTCAGAGACTGGCAGCTGGGGCCTCCCCACCAAGGACAGATGGGCTCTTCAGCCATTTCATTCTCGGAGATCCAGGTGCCCCTCTGAAGCTCCTCATGTTCATGTGTGCAGACCCAGGCTGTGCCAGGCTACCCCAAGGTGGGCTGGCCCTACCTGCTTCACTTCTGTTGCAGACCACAGTGATAGAGTACGTGAAGCCCTCAGACCTCAAGAAGGACATGAACGAGACCTTTAAGGAGAAGTTCCCTCACATCAAACTGACATTAAGCAAAATCCGGAGGTAAGGAGTGCCAGGCAGATGTCCCAGCCTGCTCCCCAGTATAACCCCAAGGGCACGTGGCACAAGCCGTGGCGGCTGCCTCAGCAGCATCAGAGCCTCTGCCCTTGGACACGTTCTCTCCCACCAGTTTGAAGCGGGAGATGCGGAACCTGTCGGAGGAGTGCAGCCTGGAGCCAGGCACTGTGTCCATGGCCTACGTGTACTTTGAGAAGCTTGTGCTGCAGGGCAAGCTCAACAAGCAGAACCGCAAGCTGTGTGCTGGCGCCTGTGTGCTGCTTGCAGCCAAGATCAGCAGTGACCTCCGCAAGAACGAAGTGAAGCAGCTCATTGATGTGAGTAGGAGGCCCTGCTGTGGTGGCCCAGACCAGTCCAGCCCCAGGAGCTAGGCCATGCCGGAGGGAGGTCTGCCAGCAGCTTGCCTAGTAGGTGGCTGACACCCAGTCACTGCTCAGGTTGGGGATGCAGTCCTGGGGTTAACCTGTTGAACCTCTCTCCTCCACACAGAAGCTGGAAGAAAGATTCCGATTCAACAGGCGAGATCTCATTGGGTTTGAGTTCACGGTGCTCGTGGCTTTGGAGCTGGCCTTGTACCTCCCCGAGAACCAAGTCTTACCTCACTACAGACGGCTCACCCAGCAGCTCTAGGCCAGGCATGGACGTGCAGGAAGGCTGCTGGGCAGAAGCACAGCCCTTGGCCCAAGCATAGGCCAGCAGTCCGCCCACCTGCCCCCTCCCAGCCCACGCAGCTTCTCTTATTCTGGGTTTCCTTGGAAAAGCATGTCACTTTCATTCCAAAGTGCACCACACCTCCAAGGATGTTTTGAGAGGTTTCCTAGAGTACTGCACGGACAGTGTGGGGGTGTGGCGTTTCTCATGTGCCTGAGATGGGCCTGACACCAGGACCTGTGGTTTACGTCACATGGAGGTGAATCCAAGTTCTGGCCTCTCTTTCACCTTGCCTTCCTTGCCAACTTTCACAGCCACAGCACTGGAGATCTGCATGTCAGACCTCATGTCACACCTGAATTGCCATGTCTAACTTACTAAGCATACATATTGGGTATTACGTTTTCCCAGAGGCACCTCCCAGCGTCCATGCCCACTGGCCACTGCTTCCTCCAGAACTCCCCATACTTGCACAGGCAGCTCTTGGTGCTGGGCTGAGCCAAGGGCAGACGCCTGGTTTGTTTTGATCTTTCTTTTTGACTCAGACCTGTTTTTGAGCTTTCATGTCACTGTGAAACCCCATGCTGTGTCACATATCCAAAGGGATTGGCAGACCTCAGCCCATCCCATGCCAGGACCACCTGTGCCTCTTGCCGGGAACACCTGTCTATCCATGACACTGGACCGTGAGGAAAACTGCTGGCTCTTGATTCTCCTAAGCAATATTGTAACAGTGAAAATGTTATTTATTATGACTTGGGATTTGGTTGTGTGGGACTTTTAAGGGAACAACTGGGTTCCTTCCACGAGGTCTGCCAAAGGTGTACCTCAGAACCATGCTTGACCCTGAGGCAGGAAGGCATTGCCACTGCAGAGCCCACACATCCTCAGACTCAGGAGATCAATGCCCTTCCTTCCTAAGCAGAAAGTAGATGCTGTCTCGACCAGTGCAGCCTGCTGTGCCAGAGGGCCATCGCTGTCCCTTCTGTGCAGGTCTATGCTCAGAGCACAGGGCCATCTTCAGCTTTTCCAGGTTCAACATTCTTGCAGAGGACCATGTACTCCCGTTCCCCAGGCTGCTGCCCAAGAACACTGAGCAACCAAGAAAGGCCATCTTCCTCACAGCCCAGCTGGCCTCAAACACGGCAACTGTGGCTGCTGGGCAGAAGGCTGTCTATCCCATAACCTGTCACCAGCAGGGACTAAGAATTCTGTTCATAATGCCTGTGTTCTTGCAGAAAGGAGACATCAGTCCACTGCTGGAGGCACCCAGTTCCATACCCACCCTAGGAAAGGTACAGCACAGCTGACCACCCCAGCTGAGGAAAAGGAATGGCTGGAGGTCACAGTCAAGGCCAAGGAGAGTCCAGAGACCTTTTATCCACCAAGACTACAGCCTGCAAACACTGGACCTGGGCCCCACCAACTCTGAAAAGCACTGATATTAAGGAAATGGCTGGTAAACACAGTAGTAACTAGGTTTGTGTATTTATGTCATGAGATTTAGTCATTGACCAAACTGGTGTGTCTGAAGCCCTTCCTTCTGTATGTCCTTTTCAACAATGCCCAGAGCTACTGCCATGCGGTACCCAAAGCTGCTGCAAAAAAGCCAGTACTTAAACCAAACAGCTTGAACCTGTAACCTTTTAGCCCAAGTCAAGTCTGAGCTGTGACCAAACAAAGCCAGACCTGGTGTCATGTCCACACCCCGCAGCAGTCCTGGATGTGAATGTGTGTACACGAGTATCTGACCTCAGAATGTTCAAGTTTATGTCACAGATTGTTTTCAAATGGATAATGTATTTGTTGAAGTAAAACTTGGTTTTGCAACACACTTCAGTTTCTCCTTTCAGCTAACTACATACATTACTCATCCTAGTCACCCATCCACAGCGAAGGGCCTGTTCCAGGACCCATAGGGACAGAACAGACCCACACAGGTGGCTTTTCATTATTTATTTATGACAAATATTCTGCATCTCCAATTCTCTCCAGTCAAAAATTCCTACAAGAAAACAAAGCCAGTATTAAACCATGTCTCTGGTGAAGTCCCTGGGCCACTCCATCCACATGCAACAACTGCCTTACTTTGAGACGATGCAATCTGCCTTAGCCAATCGGAGAATGGAGTCATCGGACTCACCCTTTAAAAAAAAAAAAACACTCAAAGAATGTTTCCACCTGAGCTGGCAGGAAGTTCTGCATGCCCCGTCAAACCCACATTTGTGCCCAAAAACCAGCCAGGAGAAACGCGCTGGCAAGCTCCTAGCCACTGAGTCCTTTCTCAGAGTCGTCCTTTTCCTGGGCTCCAGGAAGGACAGGATCCAGCAAACCTATTCCACGCACAATCCACCAGCCTGAGGCAGAAACCACCGTACACTCATAAGGTCCAGGCCAAAGCACACAGTGCTGGGGACGGGGACCGTGGCAAGCCACGCTGAGGGAAAACTCACCATCCTGCGAATGGCCCCGCAGATAGCGTAAGTCTTAAACTGGCCATTAAACCTGCCGGTGACCTTGTCCACCTGTTAAGACATGGAAATGCCACTCACCTGGGGTTTGGAAAGCAATGCACAAAGCTAAGCCCAGAACAACGTCCCGAACCGGGGTCCCCCACGGGACAGGCCTTGCAAAACCCAGCTCACCTCGGCCACGTTTATCTGGATGGACGCGTGGTCCTTGGCACCAATGATGCGGTTGCTGGCGGAGCTGCGGGGAACGGGTCGCACAGTGAGCGAGCGGGGCCGCGGGGCACCGACCGCGGCGCAAGGGACGGCAAGGGGCAAGGGCGCTCACCATTTCCGCGGCACGTACAGGTCCACGAACTCGCCAGCGTCGTTCTGCATGCTGAAGCGCGCCTGCGGAGCCACCGCGCGGCCGTGAGGTCGGCGTTCGGGCCCCACCCGGCCCCCGGCCCGCTCGCCCACGCCCCCGCCCCCGGGCCCGCAACGCCCCGGCCCCGGCCCCCGGCCCCGCACGGCCCCGGCCCCCGCCTAGACTGCAGCCCACACCGCGAGGCCCACCTGCTGCCTCCACCACGAGCGCGAGAGCAGAGAGGAAGAGACACGTGCCCCGGCAGCGATATCGGCGGTGGGCGGGGTCCCGGCGAGCGCTTCCGGGTCGGCCACCGCCGCGGGTCTGCGCGTGCGTCCTGCGGCGCGGTCTGGCACACCCCGCTTCCGCTGCCGGCCTCTCCCGCGCTGTGAGTGCAGCGGTGAGGGCGCGGTTGGTTCCGGCCGGCGAGCTGGGCCGAGGGCGGCTCGGGACGCGGGCCCTGCCGGGTCCCCCGGGCGGCAGGGGCAGGCGGAGTACCCCGAACCAAGGGCCTCGCGGCGGCCTGGGCCTGAAACCCCAGGACGGAGAAGCCAGCGCCTGGCGAATCGGCGGCCTGGGCGGGAGGAGCTCTGCCCGGACCGGGGCAGAACTAGGCCCACAGCCCTTGCCCGGTACCGTCATCGCCGCCTCGAGGACCTCCTTTCCTAGCTGGGCGCGGTGGCACTCGCCGGGAGTCCCAGCTACTCGGGAGGGTCCCGGGGCCAGCCTGGGCAACTTAGGCTGTGTCCCAGAGTAAAGAGTGGGGCAGGGTGCCCGGTGGTAAAGTGCCCAGGTTCAGTCCCCAGGACCTAAAAAGGAAAAGCCCTTCTCCACAGCAGTGTGGACTGAGAAGTGCTTGTGCCAGGCTCTCCTGGCGCCCGGCCGTTAATGAAGAAAATGGAAAACTCCCAAACTGCAAGTTGCATCCCAGAGTCGCCCACCCCAGACACCCTGGAATCAGGGCCAAGGCCTGCCCTGGCCCTCAGCTCCCACGGGCTTTTCACCAGTTTCCCTCAGATCATACTGTTGAGGACCCTCCCAGAACCACCCTCCTTCACATGCTGATCTGCCCAGCATGGAACTGTGTACCTGAGGTCCTGTCCTGCAGGTCCTCTCCTGGACCTGCTCACCCTGTGGCCCTGTGCGCAGTAGGGCTGCAAGGCCTGGTGTTGATGGAGTGCACCAAGAACTCTCAGCCTGAGGCAGCATCATAACCATTGTGAGAGAGTTTAGCACCTGGGGTTGGTTGGATCTGAGCTGCAAGCTCCCCATTCACACCTGGAAACCAAGTGTTCGTGGTGTCTGTCTGCTGGTGCTTTCACTGGACTACAGCCTGGAGTCAGAAGTGATTGCCCTCTGGGAGTCTTGATTTGTGCAGGCCCTAAAGCATGTGCTCTTTCCAGAAGTCCAGCACCTGTGCAGAGATGACTTGGTGTTTTTTTTTTTGCAGTTGCAAATCTGCAGTTGGCCTGCCCTGTGTCTAGGTTGGCCCAGCAAGGCCTGGGGATCAAGAGAGTGTCTAGCTAAACACCCAGAGATGCGGCAGCTAGAGTGCCAGAGAAGAGATTGGCAGGATGAGGACCACAGAGGCAGCCGAGAGCTGTCAGCACAAGGCTGGGGAAGAACCATCCTAGCTGGCCTGTAATCCCAGCAGCTCAGGAGGCTGAGGCAGGAGGATTGCAGTTCAAAGCCAGCCTCAGCAACTCAGCGAGACCCTGACAAAATAAAATACAAAAGAGGGCTGGGGATGTGGCCTGGTGGTAAAGCACATCTGGGTTCAATCCCCAGTACCTCCAAAAAAAACATTATAAACTTAAGGGGCCCAGTATCCAGTGGACCACTGGACTGGACTGGACCTGTGCCCATCAACTACACAGGAAAAACTCAGTCCACAAGGATTAGGTAGAGCCTCAGCAATGGAAAATAATCATACCTGTCAAATGGTAAAAGCAAGACCTCAAAGGGTCTACTGTTTGCAGGTAACTTGACTGCGTCCCAGAGGAAAAAAAAAAAAAGCTTAAGAGGGGCCGGGGTTGTGGCTTACTGATAGAGCACTTGCCTAGTGTGCTTGAGGCACTGGGTTTGATCCCCAGCACCAAATAAAAAGCAAAAACAAAGGTATAAAAAAGAAGCTTAAGAATGAGGGCTGGCCCATAGCTCAGTGGTCAAGTGCTTACCTAGCACAGCTTCAATCCTTAGCACCACATAAAAATAAAGATATTCTATCCACCTACAACTACAAAATATATATGTGTGTGTGTGTGTGTGCCAGGCACAGTGGCACACGCCTGTAATCCCAGCAGCTCGGAGGCTGAGACAGGAGGATTGTGAGTTCAAAGCCATCCTCAGCAATTGCAAGACTCTAAGCAACTCAGTGAGACCTTGTCTCTAAATAAAATATAAAATAGGGCTGGGGATGTGACTCAGTGGTCAAGTGCCCCTGAGTTCAATCCCCAGTAACAAAAAAGAATGTGGGATACTGTCACATTGCATGCCTCGCAAGATAGAATGTGTGTCATATGGCATCCAGTAAAAGATGCCTGGCCCTATACACCTGTATAATTCCAGCAACTGGGGAGGCTAAGGCAGGAGGATGGTAAGTTTGAGGCCAGCCTCAGCAACATAGCAAGTCTCCATCTCAAAAAAAGCTGAGGAGGTAGCTCAGTGGTAAATTGTCTTAGGGTTTGAACCCAGCATGTCAAAGACTGTCAGCCACATAGAAAAGCAGGGCCACTGCTGCAGAACTGACACAGCATCAGAAATACAGGACACGTAAGGGTTTTCTGAAACATGTTTCTCTGTAAGAAGGTTTAGAAGAGGAGTGTATAAAGAAGATCCCAGGTAGGGTGATGGATTGAGTTGATCCCAGGTAGGGTGATG